CTATGATGATGAAGGAAGTAGTTCAAGCTGCTCTGAAAGAATTGGCAAAAAACATGGTTGCAAGAATTGACGGCATACCAATTGACATATTTCAACAAAAAGATGCTGCCCTGGATGCACTCACTAAGTTGTGCCAAGAAATCTGGAGGACAACCACCTGGCTAACTGACTGGAAGAGATCTATATTTGTTCACATAAGAATGGTAACCTAACAGAGTGTGGAAATTATTGAACAATATCATTAATATCATATGCAAGCAAGATTCAGCTGAAAATTATCCAAAAATGACTGGAACAGCACATCAACAGAGAACTGCCAGATGTGCAGGCTGGGTTTAGAAGAGGCCGTGGTACTAGTGATATTGTAGCTAATGTTAGATGGATCTTGGCTCAAAGCAGAGAATACCAGAGGAATGTCTACCTGTGTTTCATTGACTATGCAAAGGCATTTGACTGTGTGGGTCCACAACAGACTGTGGCTGACTCTAAGAAGAATGGGAATCCCAGAAAATTTAATTGTGCTTATGTGAAACCTATGCTTGGACAAGGAGACAGTCATCAGAACACAGCAAGGAGTCACTGTATGATTCAAAATTGGGAAGGATGTATGCCAGGGATGTATTCTGTTTCCATAAGTTTTCAATCTATATGCAGAACAGATCATCCAGGAAGCTGGGCTGTCTAAAGAGGAATGTAGCCTCAGGATTGGAGGAAGATTCATCAACAACCTGTGTTATGCAGATGACACAACTCTGCTTGCCGGAACTCAGGAGGACTTGAAGTGCTTGCTGCAGGAGGTCAAGGACTGCAGCCTTCAACATAGATTGAAGCTCACATCAAGAAAACAAAGATTCTCACCACTGGGCCGATGGGCAGCATTATGATAAACGGTGAAAAGATTGAGTGTTAACAGCTTCCATTTGCTTGGCTCCACAATCAACACTCTTGGTACCAAAGTAGCTAGGAAATCAAGAGACAAATTGCATTGGGAAAGTCTGTTGTCAGGGACCTCGCCAGAGGACTGAAGAGCCATAACATCAGTCTGGAGACTAAAGTGCACCTAACCCAGGCCAAATTCTTGACAATTGCTTGCTATGTGTCAGAGAGTTGGACAAATGACTAGGGATGATAGAAAGAGAATTGATGACTTTGAGCTGTGGTGCTGGAGAAGAGCATTGAATATATCATGGACTTCTAAAAGAACAAACAAATTCATCTTAGAGAGGGTGAAACCAGGCTACTCCTTGGAGGCAAGGATTCTTAGGCTGTGTCTGCCATACTTTTGGCATGTTCTTAGTAGAGACCAGTCCTTGGAGAGGGACATCATGCTTGGGAGGGTGAAGAGACAGAGAAAGAGAGGAAGACCATTGATGAGATGGATTGACTCAGTGACTGGGATAATGAGGGTAGGTGTATCAGAGACAAGTAAAGTTGGCACAGGATAAGGCAGGTTTCAGGGCTATTGTACATAGGGTTGTAAATGACTTGATGACACATAACAACAACAATAACCTCTAAAAAAAGATGTTTGTCTGTTGAAGCCATTCACTTGCAGCATCTCTGATGACAGCAAAATGTAACTAAACTATAGTGCCGTCTCTTCTCTTGCCCTCACTTCTCTTTCTCCTTCCTCACCCTGCCTGGGACCTCGAGCTGACATTTGTCACCTGAACCAATGCCTGTCAAGATGGAGATTAAAAATAGCTGTGGTCTGGTCACACTAAATCGAAGTGGATGTCAGAGAAAGAGATTCTAAAGATTGCATTGGAGCATTGAGAAGCCAAATCTAAAGGAAAACATGATGAAGTTAAAGAGCTGACCAGATGATTTCAAAGGGCAGCTCAGAAGAACAAAGCAAAGTATTATAATGGAATGTGCAGAGAGCTGGAGTGGAGAATAAAAAGAGAAGAATTTGCTCTGCATTTCTCAAGCTGAAATAACGGAAAAGCAAATTTAAGCCTTGTGCTGCAATATTGAAAGATGCTATGGGCAATATATTGAAAAGGACCCAGAAAGTATCAAAAGAAGATGAACAGAATACAGAGTCACTGTACCAGAAAGAATTGATTGACACTGAAGAATTTCAGGAAGTGCCATATGAACAAATATAAGGCAAAAAAATAAGATCCCAGGAACTGATGGGATACCAACTGACTTGATTCAATTAACAGATGCAGCCCTAGATGCACTCACCAGTCTATGCCAGGAATTTGGAGGATGGCTGTCTGGCCAATGGCTTGGAAGACGTCCATATTTGTTCCCATTCCCAGGAAGGGTGATCCAAGTGAATGTGAAACTTATTGAACAATATCAATGAGATCATGTGCAAGCGAAATACTGCTAAAGATCATTCAAAAGTGGCTGGAACAGTACAGAGATAGGGAATTGCCAAAAGCTCAAGGGGGAATTTCGAAAAGACTGTGGCACTATGCAGCACTGGAAAACAAGGAACTCATAAAATATTATACAAAATGGGTGACCCTGGAGGACATTATGCTGAGTGAAGTATCTCAGTCGCAAAAGGACAAATACTGCATAATGCCACTGTTATAAAACAGGACTGACATGGGGATTGGGGAAAACTAAGAAAAAAGATGTTAAATAATGAACACTGCATTTAAATAAATGAAGGAAAGAACTGTCTAAAAGAAATGTATGAATATATATTTGCATGACAACAATCCAGAAAAAGAGTTTCATAGCAGCAGGGTGGGATGGGGGGACAGAGGAGGGAGGAAATTGTGCAACAATGAAAGAATCTTTTTTAAAATTAATTTTAATGAAAGTTTACAGAGACTTTGGATTTCCATTTATTCATTGTTGCACTTTTCTCCCTGCCCACCCCTCCCCCCCAATTTGCTCTTCTCTTTGAAAAGTAAAAGAATAATTCTTTCATTGTTATACAATCCCTACCCCCAAGTCCACTCCACTGTGTAGCCTTCATTCTGGACTCCTGTTGTGACAATAATACCTAATCATATATCCTTTTTAAACAGTTCTCTCCCTCATCTGTTCCAATGCAGTATACATTATTTATCCCCTCTTTCTCAGTCTCCCCTCAACTCCAATTTCAGTCCCATTTTACAACAGTGGCACTACACAATATTTGCCCTTTTGTGACTGAGGTATTTCACTAAGCATAATGTTCTGCAGGGTGACCCATTTTGTATAATATTTCACTAGTTCCTTGTTTTTCAATGCTGCATAGTATTCCATTGTGTGAATAGACCACAGCTTCTCTATCCATTCATTTGGTGATGGGCATTTGGGTTGTTTCCAACTCTTTGCTGTTGTGAACAAAGTCATAATTACCATGGGTGTGCATATATCTGCTTGGGTGGCAGTTCTGATTTCTTTAGGGTGTATTCCCAGTAGTGGAATTGCTGGGTCAAGTGGTATTTCTTTTTGCAACTTTTTGAGAAAGCCCCATACAGGCTTCCATACTGGTTACACCAGAAATAATCTTTTTAGAGAGAAAAGCAAACTGGGGGTGGGTAGGGAGGAAAATGTGCAATAATGAATGAACGGAAATCCAAATTTTCTGTAAACTTTCATTAAAATATCAATAAAAAATAATCTTAAAGTTTAAAAAAAGGAAGAAGAAGAGGCTGTGGCACCAGGGATATCATTGCTGATGTCAGATGGATCCTGGCTTAAAGGAAAGAATACCAGAAGAATGTCTGTTTGTGCTTTATTGACTACACAAAAGCATTTGACTGTGTGGGTCATAACAAGTGGCTGACATTGAGAAGAATGGACTTCTCAGAGAACTTGATTGTGCTTATGATGAACCTATACCTGGAGCAGGAAGCTCTTGTGTGAACAGAGCAGGGGAGCACTGCATGGTTTGGAATTGGGAAGGGAGTGTGTCAGGGATGTATTGTATCTCCATACCTATTCAATTTATATGCTGAGTAAATTATCTGAGAAGCTGGACTCTATGAAGAGGAATATGGCAATGGCATCAGGATTGGAGGAAGACTCCAATAACCTGTGTTATGCAGATGATACAACCTTACTTGCTGAAAGTGAGGAGGACTAGAAGCAGTTGTTGCAGAAGATGGATTGCATCTCAATATCGAGAAAACAAAGATTCTTACCACTGGACCAATAAATAGGCAGTGTCATGACGGGTGGAGACGAGCTTGAAACTGTCAATAGCTTCATCTTGCTTGGATCCACAGTTACCACCCTTGGTATGGGCAGTCAGGAAATAAGGAGATGCATTGCACTGGGAATATCTGCAGTTAGGGACCTATCCAAATTATTGAGGAGTAGTGATGTCAGTTTGAGGATCAGTTTAAGGTGTATCTGATCCAGGCCATGGTCTTTCCGATTACTAGCTTTGCCTCTGAGACCTAGACAATGAATAAGGATGACAGAAAAAGAATTGCTGCCTTTTAGCTGTGGTGTTGGAGAAGAGCACTGAACATCCCATGGATGACCAAGAGAATGAACAGATATATCGTGGAGAGGGTGCAGCCAGAGTGCTCTTTGGAGGCAAGAATGATGAGACTTCGCTTCACATACTTTGAACATATTGCTAGGAGGTACTATTCCTTGGAGAGGGACATGATGTTCAGAAGGATAGAGGGTCAGTGAAAGAGAGGAAGACCCTCAACCAAGTGGATTGACACGGTGACTGATGCAATGGGCTCTTGTGTGTCAGGAAGTGTGAGAATGGTAAAGGACAAAATGGGGTTCAGATCTTTTGTTCATAGTGTTGCTATGAGTTGTACTTGACAAACAACAACAGTCGCACAGTCCTCATGGGGCCCTGGCTGTAGAGTGTGGCTCTGACAGACACACACAGTCACACCTGAAGTTGTTCCATCTGAAAGCTCCAATCCTGTCCTTACAGGCCTGCATGACCTGGGGGTGAGTGTCACAAGACCAACCCCAAAAGGTTCCTTGTGTCTGTGCCTGGGCCTCGACTCTTTTCTAGTCTTTTCTTTGGTTATTGTTCATCTTTACGGAGGAGACTCCACGTATCACAGGACAGAATGGCTCCAATGGTCTTTCTTGGCTGAAATCTTTACAGAAGTCAGTCTCCTGGCTTGTTTCTTCTGTGGTGCCACTGAGAGGGGGTTTGAACTGCCAACATTTTGGTTACCAGCTGAACCCAAACTTTTTGTACCACTCAAGGGCCTGACTTTTTCTTTTTGCCTTTCGAATCTCTCTCTCTCTCTCTCTCTCTCTCTCTCTCTCTCTCTCTCGAGAGAGAGAGAGAGAGAGAGAGAGAGAGCACCAGCAGCATTTCCAGGGCCTCCTGAGGAAGCAGCACTTGAGGAAAGTTCAACATCAATAATCATACTTTGTAAAGGTGAAAATGGGGAATCCAAAAGCTGGCAGATCAGTAAGATTAAACTTCGTCTGAAGGGGAGGGGGGAATGGAAGAAAATGCAGAGGTATTGGGATGAAATTACTCCTTTCATAGACCCTGTGAGGGAGACTCCAGAGTGACATATGAAGAATCAGAGCAGTGTGTGAGCATTGATGGAGGCTCAGGGTGTCCCACACAACATGCTTGTTGTTGCTGTGTGTTGTCAAGTTGGAATCAATTCATCACTGACCTTCTAATGGGTTTTTAGAGGCAGTAAATTGCATGGGAGGAGACTGACCATCTTTCTGTCATGGAGCAGCTGATGGATTTGAACCATATACACTGAGGTTGGCAGCACAGCGCCTTTCCATTTGACCACCACTGTCAAAACACAGCTTGGAGCTCTATTCCTGGTCATGACAGACTAGGGCACTCAGCTAATCTGCTACAGACAAAAGAAAAATGCCAAATAAAATCTTGTTTTAATCACCTTAAAATATAATGAGAATGTTAAAAAGTAAAATAACCCAGAAAGATGTTTTAAAAACATCAATATTCTCTGAAAATCAAGGCAATGTGTTGCCAACATCAAGAAGACAAAGGTCCTCACTATGGGCACAACAGTCAGCATCAAGATAGATGGAATAAGTGTTCCTGAATGAGGAGGCGTGTGAGTGCCTGGCCACTGGCCCAGTGGGAGAAAGCTACCCCAGAGTGAGAGCTGAGATCAAACTCTGAAGACAAAGGACAGAGCATTCAGTTAGGGGCAAATCTAAGAACACCCCCACAGGCACCCTCAGGGGCAATCATAAAGGATAGCCAGCTCTTTCTAACTCCTTCTGTGAAAACAGGGGGGAAGGGAGGGTCTTCTGTTCCTCAAAAGGAACTTCCTATAACAGCACTGTCAGATCTGGAAATGGATCAACCAGCCAAAGTTGTTGTTAGATGTCATCAACTCCTAGCAACTTGTGAACAGCAGATCTGAACTCTGCTCTATCCTGTGCCATCCTCGTGATCTCTGATAAACTCGAGGCCACTATTACAGTCACAGTGTTAATCCATCTCATTGAGGGTCTTTCTTTTGATGATGCCCCACCTTCCCAAGCATGATGTCCTAGCAACATGCCCAGAGTATGTGAGATGAAGCATCACCATCCCTGCCTGTAAGGGGCACCCTCCTTGTACTTCCTTCAAGCCAGACAATGGAGTTTGCCTCACTCCCTGTCTCTCACTTACAGGTCCACACACTCCACTGCTACTTTCATAAACACTGAACTAATGAACCCTTATGGTGGTTTAGACAGTTAACGCAGTTGGCCACTAACTGAAAGCCTGAGTTCACCCAGACATACCTGGTAAGCAAGGTCTGCTGATCTATTTCTAAAAAATAAGCCACTGAGCACTTTTTGGAGTGTAATTTTAATCTGATATGTATGAGTTGCCACAAGTTGGAATAGAAAATGCTCAGAACTGGTGGTTAGGACAGATGCTTGGAGGACTGGGAACACAATAGTCCCATCCCTACATCCCATCCCCCAGAGCTCTCACTGGGGCACCTAGGAGCCCTTCATGAACTGGGTCTCCATAGGTGGTTGCTGTTGTGTATCACTGAGTTGGAACCAATTCATAGATGACTCTCCAGTGGGTTTTCATAGGCAATAAATCACATGGGAGGAGATTACCCACCTTTTTCCCATGTAGGAGCTGGTGGATTTGAACCACGTGCCTTAACACTAAGCCACCAGAGCTTGTCATATTAACCTTCATTCCTGGGGAAGCTCGGCAACCTGCCACGGATACAGGCTCACCTCCTGAGTCCTCTGACTGGTCACCTTCACCATGACCTCCTTCTGTAGATCGTAGCCCCTGGAATCTGATGATGCCAGATTCTTCACTTTCAGTTCCAGTTTAAGGCCCTGGAAGAGGAAGCAGTTGTCAGTGAAAGTCCAGTATTTATCAGGTCACACGGTCTTTGCAATTTCTTTTCCCATTTCCCCACTCAGCAATGGCTCAGACTTTCTAAAGAAACTAGTCTTATTATGGCTCCTTGGAATTCCCATCAAGACAAATGACTGGACAGCAGAAGTTTCAAGAATATCCTAGAACAAACAAGTGCAATAGTTATGAAAGGTTAGTTCGTTAGAAGGTTCCAGTTTCTTATTTTATATCACCTTGGAACTGACTCCACTCAATTCCAGGCATAGGAGCCACCAAGCTGTCAAGACCCAGAGAGTCCTTCTGATGGACAATCTAGAATCTAGTTTTGCTGGACAAGTGCTGGCCTGAGGTTCCAGGGTGCCAGTGGATCAAGGGTGGAAAAGATAGGGCTGGTACTGGAACCCTGAAGGTCCAGGCTTGTTGTTAGCTCCGTTTGCCTTTCTGAGCCTCTGTCTTCATCGGAATCATGGGAAACGAGGAATGACAGGGTGTTGAACCTCTTCTCCAAAGTCCTTTCTGGACCTGACAGCTCTCTGCTTCTTGATAGATTGCTCTTACGGAAGTTTACTGCAGCACCGTTAACTCATTATTCACAGGAGCCAAAATACGGAAACCACTTCAATGCCCATCAACAGAAGAATTGAAAAACAAAATCTGTTGTTACGGAGAGCCAGTGAGAGAAATGAAGTTACATATGCACAAACTTTCAAACAGTATGCTGACTGAAACTAGTCACAAAAGGACAACTATTATATGACCCAGGGGGTTCGAATCCACTAGCCACTCCATGGGAGAAAAAATGGACAATCTCCTCTCATCCAATTTACTATCTCTGAAAACCCTCTCGAGGGTATACAACAACAACAACTTATGCAAAAGAGGCATAGCTGTAGAGATTAGCGTTTATTGGCAGTTTCCAGGAGTAGGGGTTGGGAGAAGAGGAATTCTCAGTTTAAGGTGTATTGTGTTTCTGTTAATGGTTGTGAAAAAATTAATAGGTGGTGATGAAAGTTACACATTATGAATCTAGTTTTGGTTTCTAAATTGTGCATGTACAAATTGAGTTTGCAAAAGTTTTGATATATGAGTGTGTGTCTGTGTGGATGAATGGGTAGATAGATAGATAGATAGATACACACACACACACACACACACATACATAATTGAGAAAGGAGGGGAGGAGAGAGTGTGCTCTGATGGCCTAGTGGCAAGAAGCTGCACTGCAGTCCCGAAGGCAAGTGGTTTGAGGCACCAGCTGCTCTGCAGGAGAAGGATGGGCAATCATCTTCTGTGTGATTAACTGTCTCTGAAAACCCACCAAAGGGTCAGCTATGGGTCGTCTCCAACTCTGGTACAAGAACAACAACCTAGAGACGTCCATCTTTGGCAGTTTGAATCCTCTGGCACCTCCGTGGTGAAGGATGAACATGGACGAAAGCTTGGGACAGAGCCTCCCTCATAGCTTCTGAGGAGTCTACACAGCTGACACCAGAATCAAAGTCACACTCTTTATAGCATCTCATTCCAGCCATGCTAGAAACCAGAGCCATTACCTTCCTCAGCTCCTCACTCATCTGATTTGCCTCTGCCACTAGAGGCATGAGTTTGACGTAATCCTGGAACACCGCTCGGACAATTGGGTCTGATTTCCCATCTATGCTGTGTGCGACACCTGCAGAGAGAAAGGTCACAGTGACGAGGAGAGGTGGCTACTTGGTCTGGGACATTTGCCATGAATCAAAGTGTATGTTTGGTTTTCTAGCAATCTGAACCACTGTTCACCACACAACTACTGGACAGGAAGTTATATGGACTTTGGGAGGAGCGAAGTGGGCCCACAGCGTAATGGTCACAAACCACTGACTTCAAATCATTTTTTCCATCCCAACAATACTTACAAAACAACTCAATGGACAAGGAGGTTGCTGGAGGGAAAATGGCTTTTCTAGCCTGTTAGCTTTGATTTCCACAGCCTGGCTGGGTGGAAATATACAAACTGGGGATGTAAATGATCCAAGATGGGATTGGTCTGTTTTGTCATCCTGACAGGTTTAATTGACCAAATTTGTTGTTGTTCTGTGCCATGGAGTTGCTTGCGACTCATAGAGACCCTATGTACAACAGCCCTAAGCCCTACCCTATCCTGTGCCAATCTCACTGTCTCTGACACACCTACCCCCATTACCGCCGTCACTGAATCTACCCACCTCATTGAAGGTCTTCCCCTCCTGCGCTGTCCCTCCAACCTCTCAAGCATGACGTCCCTCTCCAAGGATTGGTACCTCATTGCAACATGTCCAAAGTATGTCAGAAGAAGCTTCAGAATCCTTGCCTCCAAGAAGCAGCCTGATTTCACCCTCTTCAGAATGAACCTGTTTGTTCTTTTAGCAGTCCATGGTATATGTCTTCTCCAACACCACAGTTCAAAGGCATCAGTTCTTCTAACATCCCTAGTCATTGTCCAGCTCTCTGATGCATTGCAAGTGATTGCAAAGACCGTGGCCTGTATCAGGTGCACCTTAGTCTCCAGAGTGACACCATTGCTCTTCAGTACTTTAGAGAGGTCTCTAACTACAAACTTTCCCATCACAATATGTCTTTTAATTTCTTAGCTGCTGGTGCCAAGAGTATTGATTGTGGAGCCAAGTAAACTAAAACTGTGAACAATCCCAATCTCTTCACCAACCATCATGATGTTGCCAATCAGCTCAGTGGTGAGAATCTTTATTTTCTTGATATTGAGCCTCAATCCATAGTAAAGAAAGGTGATCCCACAGAGTGTGGAAATTACATGCAAGCAAGATTCAGCTGAATATTATCCAAAAATGACTGGAACACACATCAACAGAGGATTTCCAGAAGTGCAGGCTGGATTTAGAAGGGGTCGTGGTACTAGGGATACTGTAGCTAATGTTACATGGATCTTAGCTGAAAGCAGGGAGTACCAGAGGAATGTATATCAGTGTTTCATGGATTATGCAAAGGCGTTTGACTGTGTAGATCACAACAAACTGTGGCTGACTCTGAGAAGAATGGGAATCCCAGAGCACTTGATCGTTCTAATGCGAAACCTATACTTGGACCAGGAGGCAGTCGTTAGAACAGAGCAAGGAAACACTGCATGGTTCAAAATTGGGAAGGGCCTATGCCAGGGATGTGCCCTTTCTCCATACCTTTTCAACCTATATGCAGAACAGATTATCCGGGAGGCTGGGCTCTATTAAGAGAAGTGTGGCATCAGGATTGGAGGAAGATCCATCAACAATCTGTAATGCAGATGACACAACCCTAATTTCTGAAACTGAGGAGGACCTGAAGTGTTTGCTGTGGAAGGTCAGGACTACAGTCATCAGTATGGATTGTTCAAGTTTAACAGTTGAAAATGGGAATCTCTCTGCCAGCAACAGAGAAGATGAAGGAGGAAGAGGTCGGGGAAGAGGGGGGAAGAGGAGAAGGAGAAGGAGGAGGAGGGGGAAAGGAGAAAGGGGAAGGAGGAGGAAAAGAAGGAAGGAGGAGGAGGAAGTGGAAGAGGAAGGAGGAGAAGGAAGAAGAAAAGGAGGAGGAGAGGAGGGGGAGGAGGAGAAAATGCAGAGTGTCTTTTGGGGCCAGAGATTCCTAAACCAGTCAGACTTGGGCCTGTACAAGGCAATATCTGCTGCAGTGGGAAGCCGGAGACCACCATGAGACACAGCTGACCTGAGCCTGCTGCCTTTTTCAACCAAAGCCAGGGTCCTTCACTCAGACTTGCTAGAGGACTGAGAGGACAGATGAAGACACTGTAATGTGCAGGACTGAGAGCTTTGTAACACTCACCATGGCCATAACACTGAAGGTCAAAGGATCTGTGAGATGCTTGAAAAGCTGCCTGCACAGAGGAATTTCATCCTGTTACCAACTTGAACTGTAACCTATTAATTTCCCTAGTAAACCCCAGAGCTGTGAGTACGGATCTGTGAGTTCTGTGTGGCCATTGCCATGGATTATTGGACCAGTATTACAGCTGTGAGTCAATGAGAGGTGTGGTTGGGTGTTAGAATTAATGGAAGTAGGTGTGGAAGTGTGGGGACATGTCTGACCTCGTGTTGTGGGTGTTGCTGATGGGAACTGCTCTCCCTTGTGAAAGAAGTGGAGGGTCAGATGTAGTTGTCTGCATATCACTGCTAGTCCTTTTACAGTGGTAGTGTGAAAGATTGGGATACTAAAAACATGTGAACTGCCGAAGTCGTGGGAACATGAAGATAGTAGACTAGATAGATGGCAGCCCATAGCCTCTTCAACAACTGTTATGTGCTCTTGAGCCAACTATGGGTCATGGCAACTCTTATGAATAGCAGATCTCAATCTTGCCCTATCCTGTGCCATTGTCATCATCTCTGATCAACTCAGGCTCATTGTTACGTCACAGTGTTGATCCATCTTGTTGATGGTCTTCCTCTCTTCCTCTGACTTTCCACTTTTCCAAGTTTGATGTCTTTTTCCAAGGACCAGCCTCTCCTAGCAACATGCCTAAAGTACTGTGAGATGAAATTTCACCATCTTTGCCTCTAAAGAATGCACCATTTGCATTTTCTCCAAGACATATTGTTTATGCTTTTGGCAATCTATGGTATCCAATGCTCTTTATCAACATTGCAGCTTAAAACCATCAATTCTGGTGAGCTCTGGTGGTCTAGTGGCAAGAAGCTGCACTGCAATCCCAAAGGTGTGTGGTTCGAATCCACCAGATGCTCTACTGGAGGAGGGACAATTTCCTCCTGTACCAATCAGATCTGATTTGATGATGTTGTTGTTGTTGTTGTTGTTGTTATGTGCCATCGAGTCGTTTTCGACTCATAGCGACCCTATGCACAACAGCCCTAAACCCTGCTTTATCCTG